CCTTGCTAGTTAGACTCTTGTATTGACAAAGGACGATCATCCATGAACAGTTGAACCTTTTTTTGTAAAGATTTAACACTGTGTTTTTTTTTTTGTTTTTTTTTTGTTTTTTTTTGTTGTGTTCTTTGTGTGTGTGTTTTTTTTTTGTTTTTTTTTGTTTTTTTGTGCGTTTTTTTTTTTTGTTTTTTGTTTTGTGTGTGTGTGTTTTGTGTGTGTTTTTTTTTTTTTTTTTTTTTTTTTTTTTTTTTTTTTTTTTTTGTGTATGTGTTTTTTTTTTGTGTTTTTTGTGTGTGAGGGGGGGGGGGTGTGAGGGTAATCCTTGCCGCCGGGAGAGTGAAGAGAAACGTCAAATGCAAACAAAAAAAATAAAAAATTAACTCATTAGTGGCTCGCTAAAAGTGAAACACATTTTTATTCATCGATAGATTTCGCTAATTCTAAAAATGGGGATTTTTTTTAACGTAATTAATTAGGAGTATTTGTCCACGGAAAGATCTGCAATGTAGACACCTGCTATTCCCCCCCCCCAATCCTCGCCTGTCACCCCCCAATCCCCCCCCCCCAATCTCCCCCTACGTGATGAGTGAGAGCAATTCCGGTGAAACTGTTTTGGTTAATGTATTTCGTTGTAAACTTGAACAGTGATTTGCTTTCATTTTTCACAGCAAAGAGCTGGGATTGGAGCTTTAAGCACTGCTTGTTTTATTTTCCCAGGCCCGGTGTTAATGCGGGCCCGGTTTCTCATGGACTTGTGGTCAACCAGGCTGTTAGTGGTCACTGCTCGTAATATAAATTACGGGCCATTTAATTAGGTCTCTTGGGGACTCCATTGTGATTCTAAATTACCTGTAGTCACCCATTTGGGTCTTCTTGTTCCATGGAGATTAGATTGTGGTTTTCCCCTAGAACAGTATCCGTTAATGGATTTACATCCAGACTCTCCCTAAAATACCGCTGGAGGGAACAGTTAAGGATCATTGCTAATCACCTAGGGCCATATTCACGAAATCACTTACGAACGTGTACATCTTTCCTCAATCTTTGACGGCTTTGGTTACATTTATTAAACAGTTTACAAGCATGAAAACTTGCCATTCAACTGTTATTGTTATAAACAGCCTCCTGGTGCTTCGTAGCTCATTAACTGTTTAGTAATTGGAAACCAGCCCGTCCTCCAAACAAAGATCCAAAAGTGATTCCATGCACCCGCCAAACCCCCCCCCTGTTTATGAATGAAAAGCGGTTTACACACGACTCACAACTGCTGACGTTCGAACATATCCGGAACAAGTGCTTCACTGACGAATTTTGTTCGAATCACAACGCTATAAATGCTTCACCCACGTACTACAAATACAAATAATCGCCAACAGAACCTAAACACCTAACCTAACCTATGCCTATATATGCACAATATGCTAATATATTATACTATTAATTTATACTTGAGAAAATTCCCGTTTTGAATGAACAGCAAGTTAAAATTTATGAATGCGTCTGTGGGGTCGACCGCTGGGTGTAATGGACTTGAGTCGAGGATGGGTTGTTGGAAACAAAGCCGCCAAAGATTGAGAAAAGATGGACAGGTTCGTAAGTGCTTGCGTAAGTGCTTTCGTGAATCTGGCCCCCTAGAGTCTGATGTAGGGGCTCGAACCTGGCAGTTAGCGGTGGCGAGTCGTAGAACCTATGCGCTGATACAGAGATTAATAATCGATGTAAACTCTTATGTTCCAATGTAATATTGTATATAGGATTTTTACTAACATGGGATTTAGGAGTGATGCTATGGCCTCCTAGGATTTTTAAGGGATTTTGTCGTGCAGAAAATCTGACCCTCCCATTAGGCAACCCCCACAACAGTTGCCTAATTCCCGGCTACTTATTTACTACTAGGTGAACAGAGGCTTCAGGGGGAAAGAGAACTTGCCTAAGCGATTCTGTAAACTTTGTGTATCTAGGTTGCTATTCTAGGACATAGACCACAATAATTTTTATCTTTTTGTTTACAAAGATATTTTCTCCCAATTTGGTACAAGACTTTTACTCAGATGAAGAATCTCTTTCCCCCCCCCCCCCCCCACCCCCCAAAATCTAGGTTGTTTAAGATTTGCTACTTGGAACAAAAAGTTCCAAGTAGCACGGGCTATGGTGAGCCCGTGAAATCTAGATATTTACACAATGCCACACTTACCTGGAAAATAGTTACTTGGCGCCTAGTTCTACAACACAAACCTCCGTTTTCTGTGAGATCGGTGACCCGCTGAGACATTCAGACTCCAATTAGCCGAAGGATTTGTTGATGTCTTTCCCTTCTCTCGGGCTAGTTTACTACTGGAATCTAACTGTCCTTTAAAACTTGTCCCCCCCCCCCCCACATGTGGGATAGCCTTGTGATGCCATGGGAAGTGTGGGGGATTCGCTGTTGGCTTCGTGTGTGTGTTGGTCCATTACTTCGCGAGTCTGTTGGTCCATTACTTCGCGAGTCTGTTGGTCCATTACTTCGCGAGTCTGTTGGTCCATTACTTCGCGAGTCTGTTGGTCCATTACTTCGCGAGTCTGTTGGTCCATTACTTCGCGAGTCTGTTGGTCCATTACTTCGCGAGTCTGTTGGTCCATTACTTCGCGAGTCTGTTGGTCCATTACTTCGCGAGTCTGTTGGTCCATTACTTCGCGAGTCTGTTGGTCCATTACTTCGCGAGTCTGTTGGTCCATTACTTCGCGAGTCTGTTGGTCCATTACTTCGCGAGTCTGTTGGTCCATTACTTCGCGAGTCTGTTGGTCCATTACTTCGCGAGTCTGTTGGTCCATTACTTCGCGAGTCTGTTGGTCCATTACTTCGCGAGTCTGTTGGTCCATTACTTCGCGAGTCTGTTGGTCCATTACTTCGCGAGTCTGTTGG